TATTTACAAGGTGTAGTGGCAAACAAGCAGTGGGGGCATGACAAATAACTGAAAACATCTAAACTGGGAGAACTAAAATAACAGACCTGGGAGCATACGACAAGAGGATGAGAGGCAGACGACGAGCAGGCCACCGAGGAACACAGACGAACCGGCAACAGGCAGGAGAACACACAGGGCTTAAATACACACACCAGTAATCAGGGGATGAGAGACAGGAGGGCAACACAGCTGGGAGGAATCGGAGCTGACGGGACAGGGGAAATGTAAACTGAACACACTCACATCAGACAGAGACCTTCACAATAAAGCAGGAAACTCAAACACGGGGAACCAAACAAGACACAGAACTAAACAGACAGCTTCACAAACAGATGGGTTGACACCATAGACAGACAGAGACACAGACGCAGACTCAAAGGCAGACCGAATATAACACATAGAACTCAAACAATAATCATCATCATCATAAACTAGAAAATGATAATAAACTAAAAGCGCTGGGTCACCGACCCAGGACCATGACAGTTACCGCACGTGCTTCAAATTATATCGCGATATGAATTTTAGGCTATATCGCCCAGCCCTAAGCAGCAGTCACAAATGCAGTATTGCCACTTGTGGTCTTTCCACACTCATCACAGTAAACGCAGTGCATCAGGTGGTCAGCTTTACTGTATCTTAGCCAGGGAAACTGGTCAAACCACTCTCTTTGAAATGTATACACGTCCCCCTTTTACTTTCAGTGGGCTCTGGCTCAGAGTCAATCGTGTGTGGCTCATTATGGGATGCCGTCTCCGGACCGGTGTTAGACATAACCTGAGAGGTTGATGGCTCCATGTCAGAGCTGGCTATGAATTTCAGATGGTTCAGGCCTTAACGAAAAAGTTATCAATCGTTCTTTTCATCTTTTCTCATTACCCACAGCTGCATCCACTTCTGTCAGGCCTAGGCTGCTGACTAGGGCTGGGTATCAACACTGATTTCTATTATTGATTCAATTCAGGTCTGACTCAGACAGTGTCAAAGTAACTGAGGATAAAACAGAAAAAAACATGAAGGAGATTTTTCTGGCCTGGCTTTTTATAGCAGATAACCTTAAAAATATTCTGCAGTAGAACAAAAACTGAAGAAAACCATGAATCAACAAAGGGCTGTGCGATATGACCAAAATCTCATATCCTGATATAAGACATCTATCGTCCTGATAACGATATAAATCACAAAAATTTTACATTTTCTGTAAATTCTGTGAATCTCGGGCAGCTCGACTTGCATGAAGTGTTTTCAGCTGGGCGCTGTGTACCTGGAGTTGAGACTTTTAACCGATGCATGAAACGATACATTTTTAGACATAAGTTGTAACGGCGCCGTTTTCTTTGTGAGTATTTATTACACGGCGTGCTGCGGGGAAAAGCCTGTTCTAACGTTTGAGTCTAAGGTTTATTTTTTAGCACCTGATGCCTCTTTTATGCTTCTCATCTGTAAACACTCTGAATACTCTTTCACGGGATTTCGTTTATTTTTAAAAGTCTCAACAGGATCTTGAGCTTTATTGTGAAAGGTCAATATATTAATAAGCGGACGGTGGAGCCACGCCATTGTTTAACCGTCGTGGTTGCTAACGACAACCGGCTTCGTAGCTTAGCAAAGTCGTACTAAAGCATTTGACAGATTTTCGAGCGCCGTGCACATAAAATCGTCTCGAGGTCAGTAAACACAACCAGAGTTCATACATAAGGCACACGGGATTATAAGGTGCTCTGTCGACTTTCAGACAAATCAAAGGATTGATTTTAAGTGCGCCGTATTTTCCAAACAACACGGTAATAACGACGGCCCACTAGCATGCGCTACCAAAAATAGTGCTTTGTAGTGTATCTGAGGGACGAAAGCTAAACCAGTTCCACACCAGTGAAGTTGCAGCATTTTTACAAACCAGTTCAGGTTCATTGGTTTCATTCAACGATCCACTTTCACTCTTCTCATTCTCCGTGGCCGCCATACTTTTTCCGCCATGTGCATATGAAAACAAAGGCACTGCGCATGCGCGTTTTACCCATATTTTATCGCCATATTTCAATTTGTTATCGTTGCCCAACATTATAGCGGTGAACGGTATGATATGGCCCAGCCCTAATAACCACCATGCCACCATGTTGCCCACATTGCAAAACCTTTATAATAAATACAAGATAATGGAAATTCAACTCAAAAAATATTTAATAAGATAGATAATAACATGTGTCTATAAAATGTTTCTCAGCTATATTATTATTTTCAGTCACATGATCACTAACTGAATATTTTTCTATGTAGGCATTGACTTTTCAGGTGTTTTTAATTTTTTGTTTGATAATTCTTCCTAATTAAAGAATTAGAACAAGAAGTCTGATGTCTTGTATTTATGGATGACCTGAGAACTGTCGACATTGCCTGGGACGAAGCTGAAGCAGTCGCTGCTGACCGACATCGATGGAGATCACTAGCTGCCCGATGCGCCGCTCGGCGTAGGAGGAACTAAGTAAGTAACTAAGTAAGTAAGTAAGATGTCTTGTATTCTTTATGAAAGAATAATTTGAAATACATTACTTTTGCTTTTGAGTTTCCACACATTACTTTTTTGTACAAAGTATCAGTATCAGATCAGTATCATCGATACCAGCCTGGATTTTCAATTTTCAATTCAATTTTATTTACACAGCACCAAATCCCAACAACAGTCGCCTCAAGGCGCTTTATATTATAAGGTAGACCTTAGTGTGTGAATGGGTGCATGACTGAATGTGTAAAGTGCTTTGGGGTCCTTAGGGACTAGTAAAACGCTATACAAATACAGGCCATTTACCCTACAATAATGCATATAGAGAAAACCCAACTATCATATGACCCCTATGAGCAAGCACTTTGGTGACAGTGGGAAGGAAAAACTCCCTTTTAACAGGAAGAAACAGGCTCAGGGAGGGGCGGGGCCATCTGCGGGGCGAGGGGAGGAAGACAGGATAAAGACATGCAGTGGAGGAGAGAGAGATTAATAACAGGTACGATTCAATGCAGAGAGGTCTGTTAACACATAGTGAGTGAAGAATGTGACTGAAAAGGAAATACTGAATGCATCATGGGAAGCCCCCAGCAGTGAGCCTGCAGTGTGAGAGCAAAGTGCTCTAATAGGGTGATATGGTACTACAGGGTCATTAAGTTAAGATGGGGCCTGATTATTTAAAAGGAGCAGGATTTTAATAACCACCATTTTCATGAGAATCCTGCAAGCTCAGAGAGTGTGTCCAAGTGTTGAAACAGTTTGCATATGACGCAATATTGTCCAAGTGGCGAGACCTGTCATTTAGGAGAATACTGCAGCAGCTTCTTGCCCCTTAACAGCAGGTGTAAATGATGAACAACAAACGGTGAGCAAAGCAGGTAATATTGGCCCCTTTAGACGATCCCAAAAATACATGTACTCTCCACTGTGTTCCTGTTAATGACAAACTAAATGAATTTACCCCAAATTACTAAAATATTGATATTTTAAATAAGAGAATCGACTGGAACATAGATATCTGGTGTCACAGACACTTCGGTGCAGCTGTCGCATGACACAAAGATGGTGTCATGATGACGTCAGAATTGGTAAGCATAGTGGCCATGGGGATGTACTCTGGGAAGAGTGAACCACCTTTGCAGCAGAGAAAACTCAGTGTTAACCCTGAAGTTACCTGAATATGCCAAAACTCATCTTCGTGGTACAGGCCTCTAAACGATTTTGAATGTGTTTGCTTCTGAAGTGAATCTCAAGCGAGCTCAGTTCAGCATGCTTCTTTAAGAAGGCGCATAAATGACCAAGCAATGGTTAGACTACATGCCTGTGATGTAACCCTGTTAGGTAACTGGTGACAATAACTTGAGGCATCAGCATTTAAAAAACGAGCACGGTTACTATCGGTTTAACCTGTGCTCAACTTCCCCAGAAAATTCAAAAAAGTTGTGCCGCAAACAGATTGTCAGCATTTAGCAGTTGTGACGTGTTGGTCTATAATCTGTAAAACATATGTCAAACATATCTCTCTTGAATGACGTCAAGCCAGAAAGATCATTTCTGTTATGAGGTAATAGCTCCAGTTCCCTTTTTATCCTTTATTTGTGAATGTAAAATGCTCATTAACATTAAAAATGTCTTTTACAGGAGAGATCAGCAGAGGGCAGCAGAGGGCAGTAACGTGATGTATATGGGTTATAAAACACAGAGCACTACAATTACGCGGAGTGATGAAGATACTTTCAAAGCAGGTCATTTCTTTATTTTTATCAAATAACCCCTTTCAATGTAGATTATTTATTAATACTAGTTTTGATGTATAAATTATTGATGTAGGGCAAAGAGTTTGGGTGGGACAGGACGAGAAAGACAAATTTTTTAAATTATTCTCCACACTCTGGTTTTTTGGCAGTTGACAGTGGGGCGAACATTCCGTGAAAATCTAAATCTTCCTAAAACTTAAACTGCTCTTGTGAAACAACCGTAAAAGATATCGCAACGAGGATTTAATAATAAAAGTCAATAAAAGTCCAAAATCTTGTGACCCGTTTAAAGTACGACAAAGTATGGCCGAGCGTAGGCCTTCAAAGTGGTCTGTGTTGGCGCCTTTTTTCGGGCCCATCCCCATCGAAATGGATGGGGGAAAATGGGGTCTTTTTTTGGGAATTTGGGGAAAACTGTGCGACGAATCCCTACCAAGAGTCGTGGGGTCGTCTCATAATTTCAGGCGGAAGAAAAATAATAATAAGAATAATAAATCTGTCGAATAGTAATAAGTGTGCCATTACATAGGCACACTTAATAAGGAAAGATATTACACACACCGCACTGAAACACCGGAGATCACTTTTTGTCGGACCATCACCGGCAGAGCGCGAAATATTCTGTCAGCGCCGCCGGTGATGGTCCGACAATCATTCAGCGTCATTGCTACAAAACAAACTACATCATGTTTGTCTCTTACCTGAATTTCTTTATGTCCTCTGTGATTCCCACAAAAACTGCAGCTATTACCGAAGTGCTGCTTACGTACAAGTTACATATACCGACCTGACATAACAACACTTCGCAGCGAGTAAGCAAGCAGCACCGACTGTGACGTAGCTGCTGAAAGCCCCGCCCTGCTTTAGGTGCGCTTGTTTTGTTCAAGCGGAGTTATATTTGGTACACGTGCAATAGGACGCTACACAGAGCTACACATTATATGTTGAATGGCTGCATTTTTTTAGACTATTGTTGGTCAGCACAAAATTGTACTTTGTGAAAAATCTACGGAAGAGTATTAGGGTCTCATTAAGAAAACAAAATATTATCGACCACATTTTGAGATTGAAGTCATAATTCTGTTTTGAGAAATGTGGAGAGGCACGGCTGCTGTTCCCTGTGAGTCGGTTTTAGTAACAGGGAAAGAAATGATTTGTCTTAGAACATAAACACAGTCATGAGTGCAACGATGTTGAAAAGCTTTTGGTCACATGTGAAAACACAAACTTGGAAGAGTGCATTTGTACAAAATACAATGACAGTGGACAGATGCAAGCTTATCAATAGTTTACCCTCGTACAAGAAAGAAGATGTGTGCCGTGTCACACGACGGCCCATCGACTTGTTTCACTAGCTTATCTGCACGAGGCATTTTGCAAACGTGGCTTTTTATCTTGAAAGAACAAAAGTAAGCTCCACATTTCGACTTTCTTCTCAAAATAAATTTTTTACTTTAATCTGGAAATTTCAACTTTATTGTCCAAATGATAAAACAATCAGTGTGAAATACAACTACAAACGTTGGAACACCACATTTGTTTTTCAAAGAAGAAAGAATTTTTACTATCTTGTATTGGCTGAAATATTTATGTCTTTTAAAAAAAACTGTCATTGCCACATGGTTGACATTGTTTTTATCTTTATCATTTAGTCTGCTGTCAGTAACTAAAACTGGACTTGTTTGTAACCCAAAAATAAGAAATGACCTTGTTTTATCGTGAGACTAGGTGTAGAGGTGTAGGTGACTTTCTTGTCCGAGTTATTCTTGTGACTTTGTTAATGTAATTGATATTTAACAGTTAACCAATTTAACACAAAACTGAGTTTTCCTGCATGACTATTCAAGCCAACAAACAAATGACTTCATCCCAGACCTCTCCTATCTTAAATCAGAATCAGAATCAGAATACTTTATTGATCCCTGGGGGAAATTATTTTTTGTTACAGTGCTCCATTTTAAACCAACATTAAGACAAGACAGACAATACGCTAACTAAGAATAGTACAATATATACATATATATATATACATACATACATAAGTCACTTATAAATAAATAGTTGGAAAAGAAACATGTGTAGCTGTAGCAGCAAACAGTGTGTTAAGTGGATGCGTTGTACAGGGAGATGGCCACAGGCAGGAATGATTTCCTGTGTCGTTCAGTGGTGCTTTTCGGTAATCTCAGTCTCTCACTGAACGAGCTCCTGTGACTGACCAGCATGTCATGGAGTGGGTGGGAGGTGTTATCCAACATTGTCTTTATCTTGGACAGCATCCGCCTCTCCGACACCACCTTGAGGGAGTCCAGCTCCATCCCCACAACATTGCTGGCCTTACGGATTAGTTTATTAAGTCTGTTGGCATCTGCGACCCTCAGCCTGCTCCCCCAGCATGCAACAGCATAGAGGATCGCACTGGCCACAACAGACTCATAGAAAATCCTCAGCATTTTCTGGCAGATGTTGAAGGACCTCAGTCGCCTCAAAAAATAGAGACGACTCTGGCCCTTCCTGTAAAGTGCTGTGGTGTTTTTAGCCCAGTCCAGTTTATTGTCAATGTGTACTCCAAGGTATTTATAGTCCTCCACAATGTCAACACTGACCCCCTGGATTGAAACAGGGGTCAAGTGTTTCCTGGTCTTCCTGAAGTCCACGATCAGTTCCTTGGTCTTTGCCACGTTGAGCTGCAGATGATTCTGCTCACACCACGTGACAAAGGAGTCGACCACAGCCCGGTACTCTGTCTCATCATCCCTGCTGATGCATCCAACCACCGCAGAGTCATCAGAAAACTTCTGAAGATGGAGGTCTCTGTGCAGTGGCTGAAGTCTGTGGTGTAGAGGGTGAAGAGGAAGGGGGAGAGGACAGTCCCCTGTGGTGCCCCTGTGTTGCTGATCACCTTGTCAGACACACACTGTGGGAGACATACATATTGTGGTCTTCCTGTCAGGTAATCAACAATCCAGGACACCAGAGAAGCATCCACCTGCATCGCTGCTAACTTATCACCCAGGAGGGTCGGCCTGATGGTGTTGAAAGCACTGGAAAAGTCAAAAAACATGACCCTCACAGTGCTCGCCGGCTGGTCCAGATGGGTGTACACGATTGAGCAGGTAGATGATGGCGTCCTCTGTTCCGAGATGAGGCTGATAAGCGAACTGAAGGGGATCCAGATGTGGTCTTACTATGGGTCGCAGCTGGTCCAGGATGAGCCTTTCCAGGGTCTTCATGATGTGAGAGGTCAGTGCCACGGGCCTGTAATCCTGGGGGCCACTGGGACGAGGCGTCTTTGGTACAGGGACGAGGCATGATGTCTTCCACATCACCGGGACCCTCTGCAGACTCAGACTCAGCATAAACAGTTTATGAAAGACTCCACACAGCTGGGGGGCACAGGTCTTGAGGACAAGGGGACTCACTCCGTCTGGTCCAGCAGACTTGCCTGAGTGAAGTCTCCTCATTTGCATCTCAACCTGGTATTGAGTGAAGGTGATGGGTGGGGGAGGGGTGTCAGGACTCTCACAGGAGGCAACATGTGAAGAGAGAGGCTGGCACAGTGGTGTGGCTCTGGATTCCAGGCTGACTGCAGGTGAGGTTGTGGGGGTGGGAGCAGACACTGTGGTGTCGAATCTATTGAAAAACAGATTCAACTCGTCGGCTCTATTCTCACCTCCCTCAGCTCCCCTGCTGTTGGTTGGCCTGAATCCAGTGATGGTCTTCATGCCCCTCCACACCTCTCTCATGCTGTTCTGCTGGAGTTTCCACTCCAGCTTCCTCCTGTAATTGTCCTTAGCCTCTCTGATCTTGTCCTTTAGTAACACCTGGACCTTCCTCACCTCCTCTTTGTTGCCCCCTCTGAAAGCCCTCTTCTTCTTGTTGAGGAGGGCTTTGATGTCCTTAGTCACCCACGGCTTGTTATTTGGGTAACAATGAACAGTCTGAGCTGGAACAATGGAGTCGGTGCAGAAAGTTACGTAGCCTGTGATACACTCAGTAAGCCCATTGATGTCCTCGGCATGAGGCTCACAGAGTGTTTCCCAGTCGGTCACCTCGAAACAGCCCTGTAGTTCCGCTATTGCCTCCTCTGACCACCTCCTAACAGTCCTGGTGGTCACAGGTTCCCTCCTCACAATTGGCACATAGCGGGGGGTGAGGTGAATCAGGTTATGATCTGACCTACCAAGTGGGGGGAGGGAGGAGGAGCTGTATGCATCCTTGACGTTAGCATACAGTAAGTCTAAAATTTTCTCTCCCCTGGTGGGACAGTCCACATATTGTTTGAATGTTGGTAGTGTATTGTCCAGTGATACATGGTTGAAGTCACCCGAGATCACAATAAAGGCACTCGGGTGCTGAGTCTGTAGCCGAGCTATGGCAGAGTGGATAGTGTCACATGCAGCTGTGGGGTTAGCAGAGGGGGGAACATAGACAGCCACCAAGATGACATGAGAGAAATATATAGCCAGCCAGTTATCAGAAAAGCCACCCTGATCTCTCAGTTACTGCCCTCAGGTTGAGCTGATAGCACACTGGCCTGAAGAGAAAGATAACCCACAGGAGCACTGTTTTTCCATTCATACTCTGTGTGCTTGTGTGCATTTAAAATGAATATGTGTATGCATTTTTAAACTCTGTTTTCAAATGTGCATTAGTTATTGATAAGAAGAGGTTACCAATCTTTCACAGGGCTAAGAACAGAGACAACCATTCACACCTACACTTTACAATTTATAATCACCAGTTAACCTAACCCCATATATGTCTTTGAACCGTGGGAGGAAGCACCCAGAGAGAACATGTACATTCCCCACAGAGAAGCCCCAGACTGGATTCTAACCCAGTGCAGAACTATCCTGCCCCATTTTCAGGGACCTGCCAGTTTTGTGAACGCTCAGTCGCTTTTCTTGATGATGTTAACTTTCACCACAGGTTCTTCCAAGATTTCAGCAGGGTGGCTACCCCATTAACTGAACCAAAACCCCTACCAGTTGGCCATTGAAGACCTGAAAGAATAGTCCAGGCTAGGTGCTGTACTATCACAACACTGCAATAATAAAATGCACTGAAACTGCATTTTGGTGTTCATGAAGTCCACCTTAGCAGGCATGAACAAATGCTCAGACTTATCTCTGGACAGCAGTCATTCAGCTAAAAGCTATGATAAAACCTGATTCAGAACCTTATGTTAACTCTCCTCGTCCTCCTCCTCAGAGCTCAGCACAGGCATGACGATGACTCCAGAGAAGTTACCGTCCACACCTGAAGTTTTTACTGGTGAGTTAGAGAAAAGTGGGGGATTTCTCACTCAGTTTTTGGTTTTCTGGCAACAAAGCAAAACAGAATCCTCTGACTATGCAAAGATTCCCTGCTGGGAGGGTCACTGGGATCCTACTGTCACGTTTTAGAAGTTTAAGTATGATTGCCATGAGTGGTCCTCACGCAGGTACTGGGGGGGCAGCTAGGGTGACCTTAGAGTTAGTCACAGCAGCCCTGTTTCATTCAGTGCACGAACGGCCTGCGAGCTGAAGTGCTTGTGCTTCTGTGTTTGCAGAATGAAAGAATTAAAGGAGACTATTATAAACTCATGCACACCTGGAATTGTCTTTTTGTCCAAGTGTGCAACATAACCAACGCAGCCGGGCCAAGCCCGTCTCTCTGCTTCTGTCTGGAGAAGATGCCCGGTTCCCAGTCTCTGGGAACGGTTCTTTGACATTAAATCACAAAGCGTAACCTGTCTCTCTCTCTGTCTGGCAAACAGTCTGAGTAAATCAGTCTGATCCTATTTGAGGCCCTGAGCTCCCCTCTGGTTCTTGATC